ATAATAGGGAGTAACTGGGATTAAAAGTCCTTCCACCCGCCGAATAATTGCAGTATCTTCTATGCCGAACTTGTAGCTGTTTACGTCTTAATGGAGGTCGACTTGGAAATCTATAGAATCTGACACAAGCGAGTTAGAAACTGTGGCCAATTTCCGTGAATCATTCAATGTGATGGCAGGGTGGTTCGCTATACCCAAGTTTTGGGCGAAATAAGACATGAATGGTTCCCAAGAGTGGCTTTTGCTGAACAGAGGGGTCGTATCTATGGACGTTGCTCTAATGACAGGTCATGCTCTTATAGGAAGGCTAATGGTAAGACTAAGTTCCTCATACAAGATTTTTGCAGATACTGCAAAAATGTACAAAATAGCCTGAAACCATTAGGCGGTTGCAGTACCTGCTCTTTGTTGCATGGTTACTCAACTTTGACGTGTTCCTTTAGAGAGAAAGTACTCTCAGCGATCAGCAAACGTAATAAGATTGGCGATTGGTGGCTGCCTTCCTCATTTCCGCAGAAATTGTCTATAAGGTCCGCCTAACTTTCCTTATCACGAACTTCTAGATATTAGTTAAGTCTTATTTTGTACAGTTTCCAGTCGAAGACTACGCCCAATGATTAAACGCCCAATGATTTAAAAGTCTTTTTAGATCTTCTGTCACTAGATCTAGTGGTTCAAGAGATGGCATATCTGGCTACACTTCCGTTGAGAAACACAGGGCAATGGATTGCAGCGTCAGACCGTTGTGTTGAAACTCTGGTTACGTATAAAAGCTTCGTCATGAAAGTCCCAAGCAGAGAGAAATAGTAAACTACTACGCTCCACCCGGTAGTATAGTAAATTTCACAGATGGTTCAAAAATGAACGGTGGAGTGGGAGGGAAGCTCTTCTCTTGCAGCCCTGCGCTGAGCCGCTATTTTGGCTACCGGACTACTGTGGGGTATTCCAGGCTGATGTTTCAGCTATAAACGAACTTTGTATTGATTAAAGCTGTGAGTTCCGTTACAATTAAACCAAAAATTGTGCTGAACTTCTGCCGCTCTGTGCATGAGATGGCTAAGCAGAAGAGTCTAAATCTCATTTGGGTTCCCGGTCATGTTGATAAAGAAGGCAACTGTATGGAGTGGCAATGGGGTACGACCAAGCAGATTCTTCGGGGCAAAGAATGCATTTTTATGCCCTTCGCCACTTGTAGGCTGCTTTTAAATGAATTTATCTACACTTCCGCAAGCAAGGGATGTAAACTGTCGATATTGTAGGCAAAGTCGCGAAGCTTAAATTCTTTTAAGACGGAGGATATATCTCACACAATTGGCGCTCTAACAGACCACTGCCTTATAGATAAACACGAATAAACGCTCGGAGTGCCTTGCATTAGATGCTGCAGCAGTTTCAAAAACTATGAAGGGTAGGAGACATTTCTCCATCTTCTTTGTAACCGCCAGACGTTATTTAGGAGCAAATTGGGCTTTCTAGGGCCTCCTGCCCTTAGTGACCTTGACAAATGGGGGCATTTTAATCCTAGGTGCCTGACGATTTTCGTCAAATTGGAGGGAAAACTTTTAGTCTGTGGTATTCCAACGGGTCTTCCACTAGTAGTGGTGGCAACACCTACCTACGTACCTACCTACCTGCATATCAACAATCAGCAAGCGATTTGCTATTCTGCAAATAGTCTTCGACGATTAGACAGTCTTTTGACAAATACTTGAAACGTTTTTTTTTTTAATTCTAGAGATAAAAATTCCCTTCCTTGTCATACTGGCAACTCCACTACCGTAGGCTGGCTCACGTAGGAATATTCATAGGACCAGAAAACCATGACATATTAAGAGTGGAACCCTCATTTTAAAAACCATAAAGCCTCTGTAACCAAAATTTACCCTCACTTACCTTGATAGTTTTAATCAAATTCCTATTAAAAGTCTCGAACATCTTTGCACCCTCACAACTGCTCGTTCTACTCCACAGGCTATTTACGCTACCCGTGATGGCTGACTTCATCAGACTCTGCTTAGCATCGTTGCCACCACAAACACTCGCTGGCGATTTAATTTGTTGCTCCATCGCAGACTCAGCCAACTCAATGCCAGCACTGCTTTTAAGTCTATCGTAATCCAGCAAATTACTTTGTGAGCAGCCACTGAGCAACGGCTTGGCCTCATCGTCCAGCTCATCATTGCCAATTGACTTTGGTGTACCTTGCTCTTCTGGCTTTTTCACAACATTTTGCATTGCGCTCGAACCAACTGTGCTGACAACGCCATTAAGCAGCTCCAACGCTGTGCCACCACCCTCCAGAAAACGTCGCTGATAGCTAGTCTTCATTTGTGTACCCCCCGTTGCCAGGCTATTCGTCTCCAACAAATACTTCTCCGTGCCATATGTACCCAAATGTGTGGTTGGATAAAGTAGTGTGGTGCTCAACTTTGCAGCGGCGATGCTATTTTGGTGTTGCAAAGCGCCACTACCCGCCGTGCGATCACACAAACGATGATGCCCCAATATGGGATTCACCATCAAGTCATCCTTCTTGGCCGGCGTAAACAATTTATCCATATCATTGAGATCCGATACGGAGCTTTTCGTTTCCGAGATCACAGAATCGCTGGACTTAACCAATTTCATTAGATAGGGGCTATTGGTGCGTGAAGGTGAATTCAAATTGCTGTGACAACGTAGGCACAATTGTGTAAGCGGTTCACTGAGATTGCCGCCGCCGCCACTAAGCGGCAGTTGATAAGGTGTTTGCGTGGAGACTGTATAGGAGCGCGACACGTCAGCCAACACCGTTAGATCCTGCTTGGAGCATTGACAAGTGTCACAGTGTTTCACTTCACTCGCTTTCAATTCATCCTCGAGGAACTTGGCCATAATGATGGGTGAAATCATATCGGGATTATTTGAATCACCATTATTGAGGGGTGATGAATTTGTTGTTGCATTTGTTTTATTGTTGCTATTTGCTATGACATCAGTATTCAGTTCGGTGTTGGACGATTCGCAGGCATTGTTATTGGTGGCTGTTATGTTATTATTAAGCAGTGGCTCTTTGATATTATTGTTTTCGTTATTGCCATTGTCATTGTTGTTATTATTATTGCTGAGATTCATATTGGAATCTGTTGAATTACGCTTGGCATCTACATAATAGAAAAGCGGATGGAGATGAGTGAAAAAAATTAAATTTGCATAAGTAATTATGTGGTTATAGGTTTTTTTTTAGGAATGGCAGAGATTTTTTTTTTTTATTATAAATGAAAAAAACAGTATTTCATTAAATTCTGTTGCAATTCTGATAAATAGTAAATAATGCAACATATTTAATTACTTTTGTTCTGAGTATTAATTTGAATTAAAGTCATTTAAAAAATAAAACCATTTTAAATCAATTGTGTTTATGGCGACAGATGATAAAAAAAATTATAACGAGATAGGGCGTTTTCGAACTAGCTGCCCTGATACGTCGATCTTACACGCAGCCATCGATATTCAATCATATAAAGTAATCTATCCTTGTATTTGTATTTTTTTTTTTTTGCTTAAACAAAAGAAAGCAGCTTTAATTAGTTTAAAGCATTGAAAATTTATATTTAATTAAAAATTTATTAAGAGCCATTCGGTGGAATGCAGGCTCGACTTACAAAGCAAAAACGAGTCATGGCGAAAGAAAAATTGATTTCTAATAAAACTCATAATTTAATCGTTAAAATTTGGTTACTATTTTTTTAATCCTAATTAGTCATTATATAATTTTTATTTTTTCATTAAAAAATAATAGCTTTTTATTGTTTTTTTTCGATAAATTTTTTTATAGTTTTTATTTTTTCGATCGTATCATAACCGTTATTTGCAGGCTTAATTTTTTAGATTTATTTAAATCGTTCATAAAAACGCAGACGCTATTAAAACGGTTAAAAATTATCAATAGAAAGTAAAAATCCAAAACAGCGATTACTTTTAACCGAAAAAATCACAAAATAACGATTAAAATTGACGGCAAAAATAAAAATCTAAATTTAGCGGATATTCGCCTTCGAAAAAATTTAAATTAAAAAATTACGAATTTTCAATGTTCTAAAAATACAAATCTTTATATTTAACGGTTTTTTCGGTTTATGTTATTTAGCACTTGCCACAGCGCGTAGTCGAGATCTCGAATAATATTTGACACAGTTTAAACAAAAATAATTGCCGTTTTATTAGCTTGAAAAATTCATTACATCAAGCTGCTCTGGAAAACAAAACACTGCAGAACATATTAAGAAACTCAAAGAAAATACTTTACATTTGCAAAACGGCAACAGATATATCAAAGCAACTCTTTCTGAAGGTAGTTCACTTGATAAGTACGGCAATTTTCCATCCAATCATATTCCATGTGGGCTTAAAATCATGAAATCAATAAAAAAAAATATGAAAGAAGCGTGGAATTGTGTATAAGTGAGGTCGCCACTTCGGGCCTCAAGCCGCTCCAAAAATCGATGCGGTTCGGTTTAGTGATTCGAACCACTAAAAAAAACCTTTAACCGGTACAAGGAACGGTTCATGAGTATCTCAGAGCCGCGCTTAGGTTCAAATGATTCAATCTTTCAATATCTTTTATTAAGGTTGAGGGCTCAATTTTCGAAAGGCGTTATCTTCATTTGCTCAAAATAATAGGGCACTTTTTTTGGGCCCCCTAGGCTCAAGAGCCCCTCAGAAAACATAATTCTCGGTAATTTAACTTCATTTATTTTTTAATTAAGTTATTAAAAAAAACATTTATTTAATTAATTTTAATTAAGAGAGCAAAAAACTTGTTGAAGTCCCTGACTTGTTGGATTACAAACAATATTTTGTGCAAAGCAAATATACATAGCCACTGTCGCATCACTTCATTCGCTATTAAATCGTCAGTAATAATAACTACATACATCTTTTTATACATACTATATAAATAGTAATATGCTGATTAACTGTATAGGCGCAAATGCCGAGCGTTGAATTTACTTTTTTACCGCTTCCTTATGTAATTTTTTTAGGCAACCCACACGTAAAATAGTGAAACACCAACTAAGGGAAAACTAAAGTAGAAATCAATGAAACTGATTAAATTATAGTAAATAAAAAACTAAATAAAGGAAAACAAAGGAAAACAACTAAAATCACGGTCTACTAACACTTACCAAGCCCCCGCATTGAGTATACCATTGCTGTGGGCGGGAAGGGGCACGCTGTTGGCGGTGGTGAATCCGATGCTGGAAGTACTTTGTAGGAAGCTGTGGTGGCGGTACCCACACCGCTAGTGCTGCCCTCCGAATCGGAATGTGAATTTGTCTCCAGGCGCATGTAGGCTGATACTTTCGATTGAATGTCGATGGGTAGCTGCGGCATGAAGGGGGGAAATAAGAAAAATGTACAAACATAGGTACGTATGTTGTGTATTTAAAATTATACTAATATAATGACTAATCTGAACTTAAAATATATTGAAAAATATGTTCAGAAAGCGCGTTTTTAAGTCGGAAACTGGGATAAGCGTTTTTGAACCGAATCGTGAAATAGGACGTTCTTCAATCAAATTCTGAGAGAGGGCATTCTTTAACCAAATTATGAAATGGGGCGTTCTTTAAAAGCTTTCTGAGATAGGACGTTTTAGAACTGACTGCCGAGATTGAACTTTCGCTCAGCCGTCAATATATATGTAAATGATCGATTCACATTACAGCCCGGCTTCGACCCCTGATTGCGAATGTTTTCCTTATTTGCTTTACGTTGCTATGCGAACCTAATCTGCCTTCGAGAGTTTGATCAAAGATTTGTTATAGCTCCTAAAGAGAAGGTATTATTGAAAAGGACTGCCTAAAAGCGCTTATTTCGCTTTAAGAGTTTAAGATTCTAGGCAAAACCATTGAATTAACTAAGTAGGCAAATTTTTTGTTCGAATCCTTATCTGGCACCAATAACATTCTATTTTGCTTGTCCTTTGTCAAAGTACTAGTGGAAGATGTGTTTGCAGAGAATCAGACTTCAGAGGTATCAACGGTTGAGTTGATACATGAGTATCGCGGTGACCACACATCCAGCAGATCAGAGTAACTTTGTGCCGATGAACTAGGTTCATAATACATTCCTTGGACTTTACAAAGGTCAATATAACAATTTCGATTTACATATAGTGGAAAATCAGTTCTAAGTCGAATAGAGGCTACAAGGCTCTTAAACAGCAAAGAGTTCAACTTAGAAGTAGGACTGGGTTCTGGAATTATCGAAAAAAATATTCCCACGAATTGATAACCTTCATTTTTCAAAAAATAGAAAAAGAATTAAAAAAAATCTAAAAATTTTGAAAAGTAGAAAAAGCGCTCTTCTATAAAATTCAGATTCTGCCACATACGATAATTTCACCCAAAGGGGTCGATATTTTCGACCTGGTTTCTCGGTTTCGATCCAGAGAAACCAGAATCAGATGCTACATACTACCATATTTTTAGCTCGTGCAAAGTCGATTAGCTTCAGTACCTTATCGGAAATTGCATATTTTTTGAATTACAAATTATTTAAGTTTTATAAGTTTGTTCTTAGAAAAGGGCATTCAAAAATTAAGCACAATTAATCATTGGTAGAAATAAATCACTAAGGATATTTTTTTTAGAAACTTAGGCTGAATTTCTAAAAAAATTTGGCTAAGAAAATATTTTATTAACCGACTTCCAAAAAAGGAGGAGGTTATCAGTTCGTCGGAATCTTTTTTTTTTTTTTTTTTTTTTTTTTTTTTTTTTNGGTAGTGTCTCAGAGGTGGTCCCATACTAATCTGGTTAAGATCCGATCAGTGGATCATCAGATATATATACATATATATATATTTTTATATGAGAGTTGAAGTCGGTTTTTTTTTTGCTAAAAACTACTTGTTTTAAACAACATTTCAATATATATTTAAACGCCCATAGTATATAACTGAATCAAAATATGTTAAATTTTTAATTTTCACTTACCGATGATACTTTCTGTGACATAAAACTATCCGGTTTGCATTGCAACAGTTGTATCGCTAAATTTATATCAGACTTGTAGCGTTCCTGAAATTAAAAAAAAAGTTGAATTTAATATTCGAGATATTTGATATGTATATATGTAGATAAGAACAAGTGCAAATTTGTTTGTAACTTTATTCAGGTAATTATGTATTGCACATTTTTGCTTACAAATTAAATAAAAGTTGCTAAATTAGGTGTAAAAAACCTTTTGCAAACAACCTCTGCCCTATCAAGCTCAGCACAAATTTTAATCTACTCTCTGCGATAAAGTGCAGATTTTTTAATGAAAACCAAACAAATATTAAACTAAAATAGACAAAATGCACAAACTACGAAATGACTTAAGCGCTGCACTCAACCAGAATAAAGTTGCACGTGTCGGCAGCACATTTGTACGCCAGGTCGTATGAGCAACCAAAATAATTTCACTTTGACCCTGTAACAATGAATGTGGGTTTAAACGCACATTCACACACACACACATCTATGTACACATGTACATGTATTAAATTTTTCACATCTTCACACTCTCTCTTTACGCCATGCAGGCGAGATGTTCCAAAAATAATTTCTGTGAATGTCAAATCTTTTTCATTTGCTCTGTGCCACTTATGTATGTATGTAACACACATCCGTCCGTGTACATATGCCTATGTATATTTATGCAGTTGTGCATTTGTGTGTTAAGTTCTCGTACGATTGACCTAAATCCTTCGAATGGAACACAAATTTTCGTCTTACCAAATGCAATTTGCATGTACCAAAAAATATGGTGGTGAGGAAGTACGAAATTGTTAAGAATTCATGCAGATGTGGCAGCACAAAGTCAACAACTGCAACAAATTCGATTGTTTTTCAATTTGTTGCTACTACGTAGAAGTGGCCTCGGTTGTTGTTTGTTGCGTTTTACTGATTCTTTGTACTATTTACTATGTAGAATTTATTGCAAGATGTCTGTTATTTAGAGGTGATGAATTAGATATATAGTGTATACAATGCCTTACACTCGTTGGAGCATACTGTACCTAAGTATGTATATGTTTGTATGTATGTATGTTAATGTTTTATTTATTTATGCATGCATACTGCTACAAAAAAGTATACAAATGCAATGTGTTATGTAATTTGATATATGTGTAAGTACATATGCGAGTACTGCAGTAATATAAAAAGTTTTAATTTTTAATTTATATTGTCAATTAAACTTGGAAAACTAATTTTCGAATAGCTTTGCTAATTTAATAAACGTCGGACGCAACGCGAGCCATGTGGGACTGTTATAGGGAACTGAAGAAGGAAGCGAGACGTATTTGCCGCAATAAGAAGCGAGAGGCCGAAATACGTGATTGCGAAGAGCTTGAGATGCTGGCCGATGAATAGCTTGAAAACCACAAAGCTGCTGGAGCTGACAGCCTGCCAGCTGATCTATTCAAGTACGGCGGCGAGGAGTTGATAAAGTGCATGCATCAACTCTTATGCTGAATATGGTCAGATGAACGCATGCCCGACGACTGGAATCTAAGTATGCTCTGCCTAATTCAAAAGAAAGGCGATCCCGCCATTCGCGCCAACTACCGCGGAATCAGCCTTCTAAGCATAGGTTATAAGGTCTTATAGAGTGTATTGTGCGAAATCCTCAAGCCTACCATCAACGAACTGATTGGACCTTAGAAGTGTGGCTTTAGACCTGGCAAATCCACCATAGATCAGGTATTCACAATACGCCAAATCTTGGAAAAGATCCGCGAGAATAGGATCGGTACTCACCACCTATTTGTCGACTTTAAAGTCGCTTTCCATAGCAATAAAAGGAGTTGCCTATATGCCACTACGCCGCTAAACTGATACGGCTGTGTAAAATGATGTTGAGCAATACCACTAGCTCCGTCAGAATAGGGTAGGACCTCTCCGAGCCGTTTGATACCAAACGAGGTTTCAGACAAGGTAACTCTTTTTCATGTGATTTCTTTAATCTGATGTTGGAGAAGATAATAATAGCAGCAGAACTGAACCGCTCAGGCACTATACTTTACAAGACCGTACAATTGCTGGCGTATGCCGACGACATCGATATTATCGGTAAAAACAAGGGCTACGTCTCGGGATTGGATAGAGAAGCAAACCGAATGGGTCGGGTGGTGAACGAGGACAAAACGAAGTATCTCCTGTCATCACACAGACAGTCAGAGCATACGCACCCACGCCACTACTTAGTAGTAGTAGACAGTTACAAGTGTGAAGAAGTAGACGACTTCGTTTAGTTGGGAACCAGCATTAAAACCAATAATAATGTCAGCCTTGAAATCGAACAGGGGGCATCACTCTTGCCAACAAGTGCTACTTTGGACTGAGTAGGCAATTGAGAAGTAAAGTCCTCTCTCGTCGTACAAAGATCACACTCNATCAACTCTTATGCTGAATATGGTCAGATGAACGCATGCCCGACGACTGGAATCTAAGTATGCTCTGCCTAATTCAAAAGAAAGGCGATCCCGCCATTCGCGCCAACTACCGCGGAATCAGCCTTCTAAGCATAGGTTATAAGGTCTTATAGAGTGTATTGTGCGAAATCCTCAAGCCTACCATCAACGAACTGATTGGACCTTAGAAGTGTGGCTTTAGACCTGGCAAATCCACCATAGATCAGGTATTCACAATACGCCAAATCTTGGAAAAGATCCGCGAGAATAGGATCGGTACTCACCACCTATTTGTCGACTTTAAAGTCGCTTTCCATAGCAATAAAAGGAGTTGCCTATATGCCACTACGCCGCTAAACTGATACGGCTGTGTAAAATGATGTTGAGCAATACCACTAGCTCCGTCAGAATAGGGTAGGACCTCTCCGAGCCGTTTGATACCAAACGAGGTTTCAGACAAGGTAACTCTTTTTCATGTGATTTCTTTAATCTGATGTTGGAGAAGATAATAATAGCAGCAGAACTGAACCGCTCAGGCACTATACTTTACAAGACCGTACAATTGCTGGCGTATGCCGACGACATCGATATTATCGGTAAAAACAAGGGCTACGTCTCGGGATTGGATAGAGAAGCAAAACGAATGGGTCTGGTGGTGAACGAGGACAAAACGAAGTATCTCCTGTCATCACACAGACAGTCAGAGCATACGCACCCACGCCACTACTTAGTAGTAGTAGACAGTTACAAGTGTGAAGAAGTAGACGACTTCGTTTAGTTGGGAACCAGCATTAAAACCAATAATAATGTCAGCCTTGAAATCGAACAGGGGGCATCACTCTTGCCAACAAGTGCTACTTTGGACTGAGTAGGCAATTGAGAAGTAAAGTCCTCTCTCGTCGTACAAAGATCACACTCCATAAGTAACTCATCATGCCTGTGTTGGTGTATGGCGCGGAGGCATGGACAATGAAAACATCTGATGAAGCGGCTCTTGGAGTTTTCGAGAGAAAGATTCTGCGAAAGATTTACGGACCTTTACGCGTTGGCAATGGCGAAATGAGCTTTACAACGATATGGACATAGTGCAGCGCATAAAAACAGAAACGTTCCTGCTCTGAAAGTTTTCAACGCGCGGCCGCGATGCTGGTAACAGAGGAAGAGGAAGGAAGGCCTCCTCTGCGTTGGAAAGATCAGGTGGAGAAGGACTTGGATCCGCTTGGCGTTTCCAATTGGAGTCAGTTGGCACAGAAGAGAAACGACTGGCGTGCTGTTTTGGACTCTTCTGGGGGTTCTTTCAAACTAATCAACTAAGTCGAATGATAACCGTGAAATATTGCAGTCAATACATATTGCATTTGTGATTTGTAAAGTATTCAAATTTTATTACCAAGTTCTTACATACATAAATACATACTTTACTTCGAATGAAAAATTTTACTTTTAATTAGACTATTCGTGCCTGGCATGCACACGAATTTATTAAATAATAATTAACTTTAACCGCAGAAAACAATTCAGTAACAATTGAGTGATGAATAGCAGCAGACGGAACACAGGTCACGCATATAGTAATTAGGCACATACATATGTACATACGTGGGTGTGTATTTATGCATTTGCAGAGCTAAATGAAAAGTCGCTTACTTGTAATAAAACAGGGATGAAAACCAAATTTAATAATTCATCGCCATTTTCGATTAACCATAAACAAATGCGAATGTGTATGTAAATACACACACAATATAAATGCATGCATGTAAATTTTGTTGATGTTATGCAGGTACCATCATTTTTTCACCACATAAATACATATATTTACATACAGTTTGAATTTATTAGCAGCTGGCACAAATGCAGGTACTTAGGCATAAAACGTAAGCATGTGGGAGGGAGCATATGCAAATCAACCCTGCAATGAAAGTCTCTTTAAGCTCCATTAAAATTCTGATTTAGGCACTACACAGATTTTGTGTGCTCTTTTCCTACAGCGGTTCTTACATGGGTTTAGACTAGTGTTATGCCCCATATGAAATTCGCTAGTTCCTTGCGTGGAGCGGAAAAAATGGCAAATCAGAACGAGTCAGTTTCCCAACAGGGTATACACAGAAATGCTTGATTATATAAATTAGGCATATGACTTTTTTCTAAAATTAAATATACCTATGAGCAGAGAATGAAGAATGAAGAAAAAATTACTTTTTTATAAAAAATTTGGTAGAAAAGTTCCCGCAGGGGACTTCGAGAAAAAAAAACTGTACTGGTAAAAAGCATTTTTTAAGTGGGAAAAAATTAGTTCATGGACATTTCAGCAAGACACAGATACCTCCAATTTATATCAGTAATCATCGTTCAATAGACGACAATTTCTTGATAAAGTAATTAAAAGGCACTTAGCTACAAACGTTAACGCACAAATTTTTTTTTTAAGTAGAGTAAGTCCACTCATACATATTATTTAAAGTTTTGGAATGTCGCGTTAATTTTTTGTAAATATTTGGTGGGGAAGTTTTAGAACACGAAGCGTAAGTTTTCCGTCGTTTATTACCGAACAGGTAATTTTCCCAAGATATTTATATTTTTTTATCAAAAATAAATAAAAATAAAATTAAACAATATATTGTTTTTTTTTAGCGAGCTCAAGGTCAGTTATAAATCAAACACAATTTGTACTTTGTATTTGTTTTATAAAAATTTTGTTTGATTTATATCTGGCATTGAGCTCAAAAAAAAAAACAATATATTACTTAAAATTAACGGCCAATAAAACCAACATGAAAAATTTTAAACTTAAAAAATAAATTTTGGTCAAGTTTTTTGGTTTGTGTTTAAGCTACTAACAAAGAAAATCTATGGATAAATAAAAAAAAGTAAATTTTTTAATGAAGGACACCATCACCCAGCAAAAAACACGATTACCACAGAAACGAAAGTGGAAACGAGCTAGGCGATGGGTATCGCTTACCGTTTCGCTTCAAGAAGGCCTTATTTTAACATGGGCATGTCATTGGAGGTAAGCCCTTACCCGCAGCATTACCTTCAAACGAAGGGAGAACGCATGGATAAACAGAATCCAGAGAAGCGAAAAAAGAATGCCTTACAGAGAAACTAATGTAGAATGCCTAGATAAGTACATACTTATTTATATTAAATTGAAATCAGAAAATGTCTTAAAAGGTTAAAATTAATTAAAATTTTTATAAATCAGCGTACATATGTATGTATTTAGGTATTTAGATTTTCTTTAAAATCGGTATGTACATACATGCATATTTAATTAAGCTTAAAATTGTACTTCCTCACTCTTGTACGTCACTTCATTGACTGACTTCAACTTCGCTGCAAATTGAACAAAGCAAAACATGATTTTTATGCGAGACAAATTTCCACAGAAAGTAACGGTAGAAAAAGAATTTTTGGATATTCATTCCATTTTTCAGCTGACTACGATGCAGCATTCTACTTTGCATTCCCCGAAATGAAGCAAAGAAGCGAAACAAATAAAATATTGTAGGACATTCTACTTTACATTCCCGGAAATTAAGCAAAGAAACGAATTAAAAAATAAATATTATAGGACATTCTACTTTGCATTCCCCGAAATGAAACGAAGAAGCGAGATAAATAAAATATTGTAGCACATTCTACTTTGCATTACTGGCAATGCCTAAAAGAAGCGAAAAAATTCGAAGGCATTATAACGCTATGCCTTCTAGAACACGTTACCACTAAAAGCGATTACCGATTTTTTGCTGGGCAGCAACACAAATTGCTAAAATCAACGCAATTTTTTAGAAACTTGAAACTGGCATTTTCTTGCCCTAAAATTTATTGGGCTACAAATCTACACACTCAAAATCTTTATAGAAAATCTTATAAAAAAGTTTCAAATTTGTAAAAAAATTTATTTAATTTTCCTGAGTTTTGCACAAAGTTGAGAAGTCATGTCTTTATGTTTTTGATTATAGGATAAACTGTATATATTTTTTATAAAAAAATTAGCGAAATAATTTAAAATAAAACATATTGCATACTTTGTGAAAAATTCTCTGTATCAATAATGTTGTGCTGGACTGCTGAAAATAAATATTATTATTATCTTATTTTATTTATTCTGTACATTAAAAAATCCATTTCAGTAAAGTCAATGTCTACAAAAATTAGGACCCTTTTAAAGCTACTTGAGAAAACGGCCCCAAGAGATTTAAAAACATCCCCCGCATTGATTAACATTTACCAATATTTTTAATTTAATTAAGATGCAAACCCTTAAATATCTCGACATATTAAAAAATGGACTTGTACCACTCTCAAAAAAAAAAGACGGAAATTCCATGTCAACCGAATTATGACGATAAAAAATTGGTTTCTAACATTTTGTTTATTCTGTTGACTTGGAATTTTTCATATCTGCCTTTTCAGTACGAATTGCATATATGAAAAATTTCAAGTCAACGGAATAAAATAAACCTTAGAAAAAAGCCATATGCCTAATGTATGCATGTGTTTATATTTGTATAACACATCAATTCACTGCAACGTATGGACCGTTAAGCCATCACGTAAACATTACTAGCATATACATACATACATAGTATGTCGACAGTCTTTTGGTATACGCAACTGCGGTTGAGGCAGTGGCTGTGGTTGTGGTTGTGGGTTGCGATTGTTTAACACAACTAACACCTCATAAACTTTAGCTAGCTTGTCAATATTTGTTCACATGTGTATGTACGCATGTATTTTAAAACTTTTCTGCTTGCGTATTTTCCATTTTAATCGCATATAAGTACATAAGCAAATAAAAAGTGTTTCACGTTGTTTTTATTAAACATAAATTTGTGAGACAAAATTAAATCAATTCGTTCAATCATGTAGTATTTCAAATGAAATGTGTGAGGCTTAAAAAGCGTACATAAGTATTTAATAAGTTTCAATAAGGTTTAAGTCTTTTTTTGTTTTACTCCAAAACAAATATGTAGTTAGGCAGATTAAAAATAAGCTTAATTTTTTTTTGTCACATAATAATCCACCCAACTGTGGGATGCAATTTTCGAGCTTTTTTTTTTGGTAAACAGGAATCGAATTTATATATATATAGTTTGCTTCGCCGCTTGACATACATAGGTTCATGGGATACCTTACCTACAGATTTACTCCCCATACGAACGACAGATGTTTATTGTGAGCAGAATTTTCATGAAAGAAATACACTCACTGCCTGCTGAGTGGCAACCGCTTTGATAACAATCGAACCTGGGTTCTGCGGGTGGTACATAGTTCACATCATTAACAAATCTTTCTGGTTGACAGCGGATGTCTGAGGCCGTCTAGTAGACGACTATTTAATAGCAGCCCGAGGTAGTCAACCTGCGTGTAAAGATTGGCAATTTTACAAGACTAGGAATACACAAATTCGAAATCAATAAAGCTCAGACGTATTTAGAGGATCATTGTGCGAAGACGCAGAGGGGTGCCATAAGTCATTCAGATTCAGACGTATGCTTGCGTAGAACCCGTTCCCCTTGCAATATTTGAGAATCGATGCTGGAAAGTGGACAGTTAGTAGCAAGGAGCTTCTCCCCGACGCTCGTTTTCCGCGTAACCCAATCATAAGAAATATCTTCGATTTGGGATTGCTTTTGCAATAAACTCCTGCAAGTCCTACAAGTCAGCGGCAAGGGGCGGCAGGATATTTGCCTAGTTGCAAAATATGCGTTAGCTGGTTTTATCTGCACAATGCTTGACCCTGGAGAAGCGGGGATCAGGGTAGAAAAAGCTCTTATATCTCACCCAAGGATTTCAGGAAACTAGTACTATAGTATCATCGTTTTTTCTGATAAACGAACACGAAGTCGATATAGAAAGATTGCGTACATAAAAGTGCTATACCTCTACACCGAGGGGACTCCTATTAATGTCCTCCCGGTGGCGATCATCGAATTCTTATTTCAGTTTTGGGTCAAAAGCGAACCTTGAACTTGATGCCATAGTAGTCTGCTAACAGTGGGCGCACTGTAAACACTCGTCTTTTTCACTGGGAAGTATAAAATACTCCACGCAACTCTTCACTCATTTGGAGGCGTTCGCCAGGAATCTTTCCATAGGCTCAATCACTTGGGCTTGATTTTAGACAGGAAGCTGGCGTGGAAGCCCAGGCTATGTTAGGCTAGGTTATCTCGGCTGCCCTCATCCCGCATAGGAAAAGGGCACACTTAGGCCACCATGGGCTCGTTGTGATGCCATATTAGCGACTCCTTATGTCCCTCCCCCTACCTTATGGTCTGATTATGCATACTTCGCATAACTTCGCACAACTTTGCAAAAACTTCAAACTGTAATTTCGTATGTACTTTGTATGTATTTTGCATGTATTCTATTAACCAGAAATTAGCAGAACTTTTAAAAACTTAGTGATCTGTTGAGTTTAAATTTTGGTTCACATTTTCTTAAGTTACACTTTTAGTGCACTGGTACAAATGATTGTGCGAAGTTATGCGAGGTATGCATAATCAGACCCTTAGAAATAGAACCACTTCGAACCTCTGATGAAGTGCACAAAGTCGTAGATACTGGCTGAATCCAGTTCCGCCAGACATTCAAAATAATATTGGAGGAACGAGAGTCGACGATCCCTCGCCAAAGCGGAACAGTAGTATTCCTCCGCATCACGACAGCTACGATAGTAATCCTTTGACTGCAAACCCATTCTAGCATCAGGCAGTGCCCGGTTAAAACTCTAATAACATGTCGGAGTTTTGGTCGCTCCAAGCGAAGGAGAAGGCGATATTTACGCTTATCCATGGAAGCCTGACATTGATGAAGAAAAGTTAAGAAGGCAGATATGGAATCATAGGACGCATCCCACGCTGGCTTCTTACGTCATGCGCGCAGGTCAAGCTGCAGAAGGAAGGGCTGAAGCACTTTTTAATCAACCCGGAGGAGGAGGCCGACACCTGCCGCCTGCGAAATTTCGAGCTTTGACAAACAGCAGTTCCCAGTAGGATTACAAAGCACTAAGCATTTCAACTGACCTTCAAAACGAAGATTCTGTTCGACTACCAGATGTGACCAGTGAAGAAGAACAAGAAAACGAATACCTATTACCAAGACGAGTACGAACCCGAATATGAAGACGAACACGAATACGATAAGGAATACGAGTTCTAACATGAAGATGAAAATGAATACGAAGCCGAAAATGAAGACGAACACGAACGCGACGACTACGCTGAAGACGAACACGAACCCGAATATGAAGACAAATACGAGTACGGTGAGAAATACGAACACTAAACGAAAACGAAGATTAAAATGAAGACGAATACGAAGACGAAGCCGAAGCCGACGATGGACATGAACGCGAATGCGAAGACTACGCTGAAGACGAAGACGACTTTTAAAAAATTTTGCAAAATTATTTTTCAAAATCTTGAAAAATAAAATAATGCTTTTAAGTGCTAGATATTGAAAAATATTTTTGTTAAACATACATACACAAGTAAATGTACGAGTACATAAATATGTAATCAATTTATTGTACCTTAAACTTTCATTTCACATGGGAGCTTGTGGCAAGCTAATTTCGTTTCTATCTAATATCTGTTCAATATTGGTTATTAAATTTTAAATGTTTGCACTAAGTACGCGCAACCAACTGGAATAGAAGGGGTCATGACATTTGCACACATAAATTATGAGCAAAGCACTTAGTACAATTACCGCAACGACCATTGGCCAACCCCAACGGCAGTGATAGAAATCCGCCTTATTTCCAGCGATTAATGCGGCGTGGGCACAAACATTAAAAGCAGAATTATTATGAAATTATCACAGTCAAAAATTAAAGGCAAAACAGAGCAAACAAGCTCGAAAGTGTGGATGCCAGCGGACCCAACTCGATTCGGAAATCGCACAGAAGTTAATTTGTGATTCGATTGCAGGCAGGCCAGCAGCAAATGCAGCAAATGCAGCAAAGAGTTCCCGGCCAACTCTTCGACGGCGATTTCATAGCAGGTTGCCTACTTCAAGGCGGTTTCCAGCTAACCAAATGGCTGGGCATTCACGCCTTCACGTACCACAGCGCCGACGTAGACGAAAAGCAATGCCAGCAGCAGCAGGGCGAACGGCGACCGAATCCGTGCACTCATCGCATTAAAAACCGCCAAAAATCACGGTCAACATTACGCGCTCACATACCACAGGCGCATTACTCGCGTGCACTTGGCTACTACAGCCTCGCCATACTCCTAACGACCATCATCGCTGTGCCCTTTGTGGGACGAACAATGGTCTTGAACCAGGAATTTTTGCGCAATTCGAAATTGTTATCGCTCGTTGGCTATAGTCGTTTCACATTTTTGCACCTTTGTGCCATCGGCACGTTACTGCGCCAATATTCCAAGCAACGTGAGCTCATCACGTGCATCAATCGTGTGCTTCAACTGCAGCACGCCATAAGCACGCTCGCCGCACAGCTCGACAGCTGCAGCAGCAGCAGCAGGGATCCGCAAGGCATAGTGCTGTCGCCACCACGTTACATTGCGCTTATGTTGCGCCTCAAGCTGATACCGTTGTTGTTGTCGCCAACATGGACCATATTCATTGTATGGATGGAATATGTGCTGACACGTCCCGCATACCTGGCAGCGCTGCTCGGCCTCTATTTTTGCCAATTGGTTTTGCAGTTGACGGTCAGCTCCTACTTTGTGAGCACTTTAATCTTGGCCCAGCAAAGTAACCAACTTAGTCTGTTGTTGCGTAATGTCTTACATGCAGCTGCCAAGCATCTGCCAAACGCGCGGCCATCGAAAATTGCACGCCGATTGAGGTGCCGTACTCTCGCTGAAGCGATTAAGCGACTGCAACGCTTGCAAGAGGAGCATAAGCAAATCATCCGCAAACTGTTACGACTCTATGGTCCACAATTGGTGGCGTATATTGGTTTTGTGCTCGCCGAATGCACCGTACAATTGTTTGTGCTTTATTTTGTGTCGTGTAGTCGTCATGTGGGTGGTGTAGTGGTTTTCAAAACTAGGTTGCCGATAAACACAAATGTGGGAGCTTTCTGTAACTTGCATTTGAATCCGTGGGCTGTTGTTTTCTTGTTTGGTTTGGTCTGCGATATCTGCTTGGTCATTGGTGCCGCACATCGGTTGCAGGCACGCGTTCAATTCATGCGCATCGAGCTAGCTGAAGGTAGTGTGCAGTTACCCTTGCCGCAGGATATGTGTCGACGCTGCAGGGAAGTGCGATTACCGGACGTGGTAAGTATTTATATAGAATAGTTTTCAAACAAATTTAAAGTTTGGTTTTAGTACTTCGAAATGCTTAATTATTTGCCAGGATATCTGCAATGCTTTTATCATACTTGTCTCTAAGATATTATTAAATATCCTACTAAAAAACTCACTATGTATGTAAGGAGTTCAGAGAACGTCTCACAGTGGGACTTCACTATATAAGCTGCGGCCAAAAGTGGTAACCGTACTACAAACTCGCTGATATTTCGTATATGCCCTATTGTGCACCCAGGAGTGAAGAAATGTTGGCACGCCCACAGCTCTTGTGGATGGAAATGGTAGATGTTATACGATTTTCATGAAATTCAGAATAGTATATGCTGGGTTCAACCAGGAAAGCATAAATGTGAAGGAACGTCAAAATCGGTTAATCGATTTCAAGCGGCCAAAAAATCCCGTTAATTTTTAATAACATATTTTTTTTTTGCTGGCGGATTTTTGCACTTTTTTTGCATATAAGCATGAAATTCTGCGCAGAAAATTGGACTTGTTATATAAAAAAAAACGTAAAAAGAAACGTGCACGTCACACGCACACTAAAATTGTATGTGCTAAAAACAAAAAAAAAATTCTAAAGTTTCATAGCCTTATTCATAAAAATAGAAAGTAGCTTTACAAAAGGTTTATAAATTGAAAAAATGCATGAAAAAGTTCATTTATAAAGCTTTTTAAACCTATTTAATTTTTTATGAATAATGCCATCGGAAAAAAATTTTAAATTTTGATGAAAATTTTTATAATTTTCCTAAATTTTGCATAAAGTTGAATGACCTTTTCATAAAATATATATAGGTTTATAGAGTTTTATAAAGTGAGATTTTGATACAAATTTTAGATTTGTAAACAGTTAAAGTCTTCTTTATTTCTTATGAATTCGGGTGTTAAAAACTTTTATTTATATAGTTTTTGGTAAAGCTTGGACAATGTTTTCATAGAAACATAACAAAAAAATATAACTTGAACTTTTAAACTGGTGCAACTCCTTCAAAAATTAAAAAAAATAAATAAAGCTTCACAAGTATTTTGAAAATAAAACTTACTTAAACTGCTCACGTTTATACTCATATTAAAATATTTCATTTAACTTAATTGACATGTTTAGAATTTCAAAATATATGGCAACCATCTTCAAAAATATTTTTCAAATAAAACTTTCTCGCACCTCTCTCGTTTGACACCCATATTAAAATATTTTGCTAATAATAATGGCACAAATGTTAGTGTTTGGCCGAGCTTGTCACACAAAGGGGAGGGACCTACAGTTTTACGCCGACTCCGAACGGCGATTGTATTTTTATTAGAAGCTGTTTTTCAAGGCAGAAATATACTCGGAGGTTTGCCATTGCCTGCCGAGGGGCGACCGCAGTTAAGAAAAAAATCTTTTTTTTTATATATTTTTGCGATATTGCTTTGACGAGGGCTTGAACCCACGCTCTGCAGAGTGGAAGCGCGCACTGCTAACAACTACACCCCAGTGGCCGCCAGATTTGACTAAACTTGTTAATTAAACTGGTTTTCAGTTTCTAAAGAGGTGGCAACCCTCTTAAAAAATATTTTAGAAATAAAATTTACTTACACCTTTTTCGTTCGACATCCATATTAATATATTTCTTTTCACTTGTCAATTAATTTGATCTTGAATTTCCAAACAATTCGCAACACTCTTCAAAAATATTTTCAAAATTCAGATTTCTTAGACCTTTGATGATGATGAATGATGTTGCTGGTACAAAAAAATGTACCTATACGTGGCGCAAAAGGCCATATTTAATTGTATGCATTAACCCTAGAGTACTCGCACTATTGGCATTTCACCAGCCGGAACAAAAAAACTGCATGTTAGCTTTCAAATTATGCATTTGTAAGGTCAAGCCTTCGCCTCTAAGTAAAACTGTAAAACTTAAAAAATAATAATTTCAAATGCAGTTGAATATTAATTGCAAACCCAAAATTTTTTTAAATATGGACAGCAAAATACTCGCTACGTGATCACTCATGCTTCACGAAAGGGTTAATTCCTTTATATATACATAAATCATGGAAAACAAAAACAGTCAATTACACACATACATATGGCACACGATTTTCAAAGGTGGCACAACTCAAAATTACACGCTTGTCAGAAAATGCGAAAAACTATTTCCTAGCACATGCTTATCATAGGGGCAAGGGAGACTCTACTTTAGGTTTTCACAAAAAATTATAACAAAAGTTTGCGCCAGCTTTTGCTGAAAGGTAAATAAAAGCTCTGTGTACATTTTTAGCGTAGATATAATTTCAAAAATTAAAAATTTTGAATTGTGTCACTTTTGAAAATCGTGTGCAATATGTTCCCAACGGGTATTTAAACGAGTTGATTAGCCGCAGACATACCATGTCAGATGTGTTACCTTTGCTGTATGCTAGTATACTCTACTTAGCAATTTGTTATTACCTTCGCAATTTGTCATTGCACAAATTTGCAAGAGCTAAATGCTTGCACCCTAAAATTTTTCCAATCGAAATGCATATAATTCGCAAAATAATAGTACCTTTGAAAAGGGAGAAAGAGGGCTAACCAAAATGAATAAATGATTTTAATTTAAGCTGCTAGAAATCAACACCAAATATATGTGATTTGATTTTATGAAAAACCGCAGTTTATTATGTTCAGCGTTCGTGAGTGAATCAAAATAGGTCGCAGAGTTTAAAAGAAAAGCGTCAACAATGTTTTTTCGGCAAAGGCATAAGTCAGCAAAACCAATTGGTTTCATTCAACCACGCTCAATCGCCTATCTGGCCATTGGAATTTTCTACATTACTCGAGTGCTGGGCATCACTACCTTCGTTTATGAGCCGATGCGAGCACCTCTGCCACGCCGTTTGAATTTCAAACCAACCGTTCTACAGTTGCGCGTCAGGCGTCAGCAATTCGGCTATCGCTTACGATTCTCTTACTTTCTTCGATGCTACAGCATCGCTTTGCTTATTTCGATTACTGCTTCGATACCTTTCGCTCTCTACGCGTTCCACAAAGAAATTAAGCCTTTTTCTTTGACAAAGCTTCGCGGCCTTGTACGTAATATGCGCTATTTACTCATACAGGCTTTTACTGCCATCTCATTGCTTTCGATTTGTTGCATGCAACACCGCCTATTGCAGTTTCTTAATCGCTGGCTAAGCATGCACTACTCGCTGCGCTCACTCGCACTTCAACTCAATATTGGCAATGCAGAAGTGGTACGTTTGCAGTGTTTGGACCTAAAGAGTTGTTTGTTGCTGTGCATTAAAATTTTGCTATTAATGCTAGTACCCGTCCCGGTAGTGTATTCCATCCTGCGTATTGAACGACCACAACTCTTCGCTGGATTAGTCTTCAATTGCTGCTGCAGCATATTGCAGCAAACAATAATTGTCTTCTATGATGTATGCGCTCTGAGAGTGGGCCACTATGGTAAACAGATTAATGTGTTGTTGCGATGTGCACTCGCCGAGGCGAGGCAACATTTGACAGCTGTGCAGCTGCCACTCGATGAACATCGACGTAATCGAATGATTCGACTATGCAAAGTTATCAAACGACTACATAGCCTATATGAGCGAAATTTGCAACTGAGCCGTGAATTGGTGCGAATTTTCAATACATCTTTGTTAGTCTATCTCTTTTACATTTTGGCTCTCAGTTCAGCGCAGTTGTTTGTGTTTTATTTTGTGTCTTGTAGTCATAGTGCTGCCCATTTGAGGACTGTTATGAATATGGACGCAGATAGTTGCTCGCTGCCTAGATTGACAGGATTGCACGCAGTTCTAACTATGTTAGCGAATTTTTGCCTTCTGATATGGGGAACGCATTTCATGGAGGCGCAACTTTGCTCAACACGGTATATTTTAACAGAGGGTAGCTTTGAACTGCCTCTGCCACGAGACAGTTGCAGCAGTCGAGACTATGAACTTCAGTTGGAGGCGGTGGTAAGGACATTTATTTTTCATATAAGTACATTTAGAGCTGATCATAAAATATGACGAAAAAGAAATTAAAAAAATATCTGTGATGGTTTCTTTTCGAGTTGAAACATGTTCTTCTATTGTGTATAGCATTATAAACCAGGGAACGAAAATAACCGTGAAATGCCAAGGTTTTTATTTTTATATCATTGCGAAATCATTATTTTTTGGACTCCTATTTTTTGAATAAAAAAAAAATCGTTAAATATTGAATTTTACTATTTAAGTCTCGAAAAATATCCAAAAGACAGAGACCCCTATACTTTACAAAAATTTTTTAAATTTTTTTGTATATATTTTTTTTTTTTTACTACGTACAAAATAACATTGTATGGCACATACAATAATTTCGCCAAGAAGAAAAAATATGAAGTAAATTTTTACCGCAACTATTGGGATTTCAGCTGGAATATTTTATAAGATTTTGCATTGTGGGGTGTAAAAAAAATTTGCATCAAAAAGTCAATTTCGAAAAAATTAAAACCTGCGAATTCGATGTTCAAAGTCATTGACAAATACATAGTTTAGGAAGAGCCTGCCTGAAACTATACAAAAAAGCAAATAAGCAAATGGATGTATAGAATTGACAACAACAACCACGCTGTCGAGTTTAAATAGCGGCAAATCAGCTGCACTTGATAGTAGTTGGTTGAATAAGGAAAATGAATTAGCAACAAGAGTTTACGGGATGTACATAGCTCAGTGGTTAACGCTTCTGACTTTGAACATCGAATTCGCAGGTTCGATCCCTGCTGAAGTCTAGAAAAAGAAGTCTGATGAGGAGATGTGGTGATCTCCGAAATAGTGCTATAACTTCTACCGCTTAGACTTTGTTGCTTTTTCAATTTTTCCTAATAAACAATCGTGGTACAAAGCTCAATAAAAATATTAAAAATAAATTTCTTAGCATTGTACTGTAGTGGCGTAAAGAAGTGCATAAATGTTGTATAAAAACATGCTATAAGGAGATTTTGGTATGAGGAATAAATTTCTGCACTCATCCTTTTCTTAAAACTTCCACCAGAGCGCGCAACAGTAAACAATTTTCTAATTTTCTCCGAAACCTCTTTTGGCTATTCGGCACACTCCAAATTGATTTTAGACCAGTCAGTTTTCGTTCCTTTGTAAAGATATTTTTAACGCAATTTAAAAAAAAAATCATGAAGAGTATAGCAACTTTTTCTCGTAACAAAATTAGAATCAAAAATTGGTAAACTTAAAATTTTTTGCTGGTGAAAAGAAAGGAAATTTTAAGTTTTTTTTTTAGAGATTTGAAGAAAACAAAGGTGGTCAACGTTTTTTCTTAACTTTTTTCATCATGTCAAAAGTTATTTTATTTTTTTTACTGAGGGTTAAAGTTTCTTATTTTTGGAGAAAAAGAATGCAGAACATTTTCGTTTTCGGTGAACCCGAGTAAAATTTTATGTTTAAAATTTTTTGTGGAACATTTTTAACCCTCTAGCTAAATTTTTTTTTAACGGGGTCACAAATATTTTTAACGTAAATGGATCAAAATGCTCTATAAAAAATTTTGCTGCTAAATTTTGCTGTGCTGTATTAATTTTTAAACAAAAAGGTGAAACCTTGAGCCACTGTAAAAGATGATTGTGATGAGATATTTTGGTCGGAACCAAGTTAACTAAATTTATGAAGTAGTTCTGGGAATGGCAACAATTTTAGTTTGTATGATTTCAGAACACACATATTTATGGAAATCATTAAGTGAAAAAAAAAATCGAGCATCCTGAATAAACAGAATCCCCTGAAATTATAGATTCTATGCAATTTGAATTTATTTTAACGAAATAATAGGCTTACTGTTTTTGTACTATGCAGACATTTGTGTATTTTAGAAAAAAAATTGCCGCAGTATGTATTTATGTAATTGTACAAATATTCTTTTTTTTTTTGCTTTCTTTACATGCACTGCTCTGTAATTTTCTGTCACAACCATATGGCGACGACGACCAACGAATTAAACCATTCTCTACAGTTGGCAGAATTTGCGCTCTACCTACGCATGGAACATCAACAACAACACAGGGATGGAAACCGTTACGTATACTTTATGGTTTGTGGACTTTTTGCGCTGGAACGACGTTTGATATTTATGCTATTTGAAACAATTTTAAATTATCTGATCATACTCATACAATACGATAAAGTGGCATAAAAAATTTCTAAACTCCACTTGCATGAATTCACGCAATCATTAATTTGCTACTTGCGTGTTGAACCAGATACTTATTGATAAAAATTCTAAACAAAATTAGAAAGCATTGAAAACCCAAGCTGCCTAAGTGTATGTATGTATGTATGTGTGTAAAAAAAACGCTCACAAAAAACTTGCAATCAACAAAAATACCATAGCAAACTTTTTTGCATTAAAACGTTGCATTAAACCGCTCTCAATGACTCCCAGGCGATTTTAAACTGAAACATTTCGAGCCACAAGTAGCTCTCACAAACATTGTAGTAGAGAGGTATAACTTATTACTCGCTAGTTAATCGTTGGATCAACAACAAATTATGTCATCTGCCCGGAAGCTAAAGTCACTAAAACAGATTCTGCTAATACAACAAAATTTTGTATTTCAACTCGCAATCGGAATTTACTACGTCACCACTTTATTGGGCATTACCTCATTCGTTTTTGATCGCCGCAAGGCTGGCCGCCAGCAGCGCGCCAACTATGAAGGGGGTCAGCAGCGTCGCCTGCTCTATCCGCGTTTACGTATATCAAGCGCGCTTCGTTGGTACAGCTTGATGTTGCTGCTCTTAACCATCGCATTGACCCCTTTCGCCACCTACACACTCTACACTCAAATGTATTTTCTCAGCCTAACTAAGCTGCTGTCCGTTATTGGCCATATGCGTTTTACAATTTTACAAGGATTCGCCGTCTTCGTGATGCTACTGAATTTCCGCACGCAATGCCGCTCCGTACGTTTTCTCAACCGTTGGCTAGGCATGCAGTATACGCTACATGAACTCGCCTGCAGCTTGAAGCATATGCGCGCCGTAGATATTACACGACGTTTACAGTTGTTGGATCAACGTAGTTGTGTGCTGCTAATCGCCAAGTTGCTGCTTATGTTACTGACACCAGCGCATCTCTGCTATGTGGCGAAGGGCGAACGTGCGCTCCATCGGCCAGCGCTGTTAGCTTCGATGCTCATCAACTACTATTGCGTTTTGGTGTTGCAAATGACGAATGTATTGTTTTCGGTGTGCGCCATAAGAGTGGGCCACTATGGCCAACAGATCAACGTTTTATTGCGGCAAGCGCTTGAAGTAGCCGATGAGCGCTTAAATGGCCAGCGTCCACTTAACTGCACTAGCCGTCAACGTGTATTTAACCTTAGCGAAGTGATAAGTCGCCTCCATCGCTTGCATACACGAAATGTGCTGCTGAGTCGTGAGCTAGTGCGAATCTATTCTCCAATGCTGCTTACTTTCTTCTTCTCCGTGTTCATGGTTTGCAGCATACAGTTGTTTGTATTTTACTTTGCGACTTGCACCCGATTTGGTGCCAACTATAGTACAGGCGGTGTAATCAGTTCGAATGTGCTTAGCGATAAGTGTTCCTCACCCAATTTTATGGGATTGATGCAAGTGTTCGCTCTGCTACCGGATATGTGCGTGGTAGTGTTTATTAGCCATCTGATGCAATCGTATGTTGCAGATACGAATGTTATTCTCGCAGAGTATGCTTTTCGATTGCCGGCACCGCGCGGCATTTGCACTAGCCAATGCTGTGAAGTACAATTGGAGGCGGCGGTAAGTTCACGAATAATTGGAATTATTTTCATGTCCTTATAGAAATGCTTGAAAATATCCATTTCCGTAACCATATTCATCTCAAGACACTTATGCATATTAATATTCCATATTCACACCCACAACCATATCCATATTCTTATCCACATTTCTACTCATATTCATGTCCATATCTATATCCATATCCATATTCATATTCATTATTCATATATGTATATATCCACATTTATCTATATTCCTATCCATATTCCTATCTACATATATCTACATTAATATTCTTATCCATTTACATATCCATATCCATTTCCATTTCCATATCCATATCCATATCAAAATCTATGTACTATATTCTTATCCATATCAATATCCAAAACCATATCCATATAGATATGCATAACCACACATATATCGATTTCATATCCGTATCCTTAACCACATCATTGTTCATATCCATATACAAATACATTTTCATATCCATATCCGTACCCATATCCATAAGCGTATCCTTATCCATATATATATATCCATCATATACAAATCCATTCTCATAACCATATTATTATCCATATCCGTACAAATATCCATATCCACATCCACGTCCATATCCATATCCACATCCATATCCATATCTATATCCATATTCATATTTACATCCATATCCTCAAACATATCCACATCCTTATCAATATCCTTATGATTATCCAAACCACATGTCAATCCACAAAGTTTAAAATAATTCTTTCTCACAAATTTTACCTATCTTTTACGAGCATTTATAAGTACGTACATAATTTGTACGTATGTATTTCTTTTTTGTTTTTTTTTTTGCATGGAAAAAATCCGATAGCTGTCAGAATTTTCGCTATATTTGCGAATGGAGCAGCAGCAACGCTACAATCTTGGTCAGGAGTATGCCTTTTTCATGACATGCGGTCTATTTGCACTAGAGCGTCGCTTGATATTTGAGATTTGCGAAACAATTTTAAATTACTTAATCATACTTGTACAATACTATGATGTAAATTATTACAAATCATAAATATTATTCATAATCTTATCTTATAATCTTTATTATTAAGTAAACACTTACATATATCAGAAAAGCTGCCCAAATAAAAAAGTAAAACAGTTAACGCTGTTGGTACAAAAAATCAACCGTTGTAGCTAAAACCTGAAAATTTGGATACCGTCTAATTTTGGTTGTTCAATTCAAAAATACAATCAAAATTTTTATAAAATTGTCAGCTTTACCGCTATTTAGCGTTCATTATCTTAGAAATGGGAAGTGATCATAATAATTTAATTTTTTTTCGTTCGCGAAATATGCATATTTCAAAACTATGAATAACGCTTTAAACTTTTATAGAATCTCACTTCGACCGAAAAATAGTACATTTTGTGAAAAATATGTTCAACTACATCCAGAAAGTGCAATGAAAGAATCACGTTAAATAGAATGCTATAGTTTTCTCAAAACAACTTTTAACAACAAAAGCTCTTACTCACGAAAAACAGCGCTTTAAGCACAAAAAAGTTTATCCAAAATGCTGAACGCTTATACTGAAAGGGTTAAACTTAGAAAGAAAAATAATTGTGCAGTTGAATGATAACTATTCAAACTCATAATACGTAGAGACATGTATGTATGTATGTTTTAGCACATTAAATTTTATTATGCCATACACCCAGCTGTATATTTGTAGATTAATATGGTATTTGTGTTGTACATCAACCATGTATGTATGTAAGTGTAAACGACTATAAGTGGCATGGTATGTCGGACGTAATCATAGTCAATTAAATTAAGCTGCTTTTGTACATTTTCATTTACACACTTCTCTTCTATTAAAACACAATTTACTATATCCCATACGCTTGTAAAATTAGATATTTTAGATTAGCACATCGTCAGCTAAAACCACGGATTACGTAGCGTTGCATAGCAAGCAATCTCACTGTGAAGCCATATTGGCGCAAATGAATTTATTGCCGATAAATGTCGGCATTAAACGTTGACAATTTTGGTAGCGATGACAGCCAGACTAATAGCCAGCGTTGCAATTTATTTTCTGGTAAAATATCCTATTTGACAAATATGATGATGAAAAAGCAAAACACTTTCATCGAAAATGCTTACAGAGATGTGTGGTGTTTTTTGTAAAGGTAATTTATCCACTAAAAAGAATTCAACAGAAATTTCCCTATAAAATATATTATGTGCCGCCAGGAAGCCACTAAAGTCGACAAATTTTCTACTAAAAATTTTAAAAAGATAAAACCTTACAGCACATCTACAGGCCAAGCCCTGTTATTGGAAACCTCACGTTTGAAAATAGAAGGAACTGCATGAATTCATTCAAACTTCTAGCCAAACAGGGTACAGTAGATTTGAATTTTGTAAGTTATGAATATACATACATTTTGTTTTAAATTTTCTATCTTCAAATGGAAGAATGTGAATGAATGAATGGAAAACTCATTACGGTGAAAGTTTTTTCTACAAAAAATTTGTTCGTATTGTAATAGGAGCGCATAATACATATATATGTACACAAATATGTTTGTACATATGTGCACAGAAACAATATTTTTAGATTTTCATACAAAATTGCTATTTATTTCAATTCAATTTATTTTCACTTTGTTTGAATATTGTGATGTCGACACATATATCAGAAAAGGTATTCACTCAAATTCAAACAAATTTCCAAAAAAAATCCTTCATTCGTTTTGTATATGAATAATTCATAAGCCGTTTTGAATGAATTCACGCAGCCCTCTAGTACGTACATATATACCTAAGTAAAAAAATTATATGTGCATAGTATTTTTCTCTATTTCTCTGTATAAAAACAAGAGTTAAGTTGTTTGTAGTATGCGATATTTTAGTACTTCATTAAACTTATTGAATAATTTGAATTAAACTTTTAAACTGGTGGCAACTCTCTTGAAATTGAATTAAATTTTTTAAACATTTTGTAATAAATAATTGGTTTGACTTTTTAAATATTTTAAACTTAATGTTTTTAAAGTAAAACCTTATTGCACATCTACAGCCGAAGCGTTTAATTTGAACCTCATATTTAAAAATCGAACAAACGGTGCAGATCTGATGACCTGGACAAAGGAAATCCCTTCGCGTATTATATATGTGTATAGGTTTTTAATTTTTTTATTAAGTTTGCTCACTGCTCAATTTATTATCATCACAATACCATATTTGCAATATTATTAGATACTTTGAAGACAAGGCATCTCTACGTGGTGATGAGAGTTTTAAAAGCTTTTTATGCACAAAAATGCGCAGAGTCGTTCTATACCTTGTCAGTATAAAATATTATTTGGATTAATAGATAAATTTCATATTTTCGGTGTGAAAATCAAAACCAAAAACGAGAAGCATGCAAACAGTTTAGATCTTTACAGTCTTCTACAACCTTACCTCGTTACCTCTCAGTGTAGAAAATTTTTTAAGTCCATCATGTGTCAAACGATTTCAAGATGTCATTTAAGTTTTAATGCACGTGAAGTACAAGTCAGTGAAACTAACATCATTACTTGTACTACAGGCGTAATAATTGTTACGCGAGGGTGGTAGATATAGTACATACATACATACACTGCTGCCATATTAAGGCCGAGGTTTGCATTCTATGCAAGTTATATAACAGACGCCGTTAAAGCAAAAAAATTTTGTTATTCGCACTTTTGTCAGGCCAAAAAAACTGATTACCATCGACAGATATCCTCGGTAAAATTGCTAAAATCTGGCATAAATCGATTTTTACGCTCCTAAAATCCGGCAACAAAATGCTGACTTTCTAACTTCTCGCCACTTACAAGTCAGTCAAACACAACAGCCATAATACTTTACCAATGTCCAATGCACAAGATATTAACTGGATGCAAGCGGAATAGGAAGTGAGCTTATGTCAAACGGCTATTGCACGCCAACAATACTGAATGCGATGAGCGGCAAAAACACGACCCAAAACATGGCGGTTAAATGCCATGAAACATATACATACATATATATGTATATATGTATGAATGTAGTTGGCATTACACAAGCACAGTGTATATAGACATTAGAAAATCAATAGGATGGACACCAAACTGAAGCCTCCTAGCTAAACAATTCCGACTGACACTTCCACTCACACAGTTGATACACTGCATAAGTATATGTAAGCATATGTAAATTAACAATAGAAATGCAATTAAAATGCGCCGCATGCATACTATGAGGTAAACAGCATCAAATATGTACATATGGCAGCATGAGCTTACATTAAGGTGGACCTAATTTACAAAAAATTTAAAGTAAATCGGGATACCCCTTAAAAAAGTGAGGTCAATGGAAAAACTATGGGATTAGCTAAACAAGCT